GCTCTCAGAATGTAACTTGGAAATCTGTTTCTAACCTGCGGACTGACTGATTATCACTGGTGGCTGGACACTGGGATTAGACATAAATGTGAATGCAGTGAACTACGGCAGGTGGGGACAGGGCAGGAGAGCAGGAGGGCCACTGAGGGGCGTCAGCCACATGAGACCTCAGTCTTGACCCCGCCAGGTATTGTCTAAGAATCTGGGCAATTCTCCCAACAGTTTTTAACACCCCCTGGCATAATGCAGGGAGTCCTTCTTCCATGGTGGTGGAGTCAGACAGGCTACGCTGAAGCACAGAGTCAGGTCTCCACGCAGACTGTCCAGGTGTCCACGAAATGCTCCTCATACCAAGAACCAGGAGTAATTCCATTCGGCTGTTCTTTGTACTCTCGCATTTCTGGACCTCTCTTCCTGAGTGCAGGACCACACAGGGACATGCTGCCCTTGAGAGGGTGCTTGCTGAAGAGCAAAGTGCAGCCTACAGGCCACCAGGGTGCATGGGTCCTTCATGGGGAGTGGTGTGTGTGCAACTGTGCTGCTGTCTCTGCAGCTATCAGTGTGTAAGCTTCACACCTGCCAGGCGGTCGCTCGCAGGGCACTCACATGGCAGGACTTGGTAAAGTGCTGGGGAGGCCACGCAGCCCTCCACAGAGCCCAGCTGCTCCCGAGTGGCTCTGGGATCAGCCGTCACTAGGGCCAGCAGGAACCACACCAAGCTCCCACAAGTCCTGTCACAGACATTCTTGCTGGAGATTTGTGATTTATTTGCTTGGCAAATCTACAACTATATGCACAGGTTCGGCTCTGAGAGCCAGGTGGGCCAGCCAGAGCTGGGAGGGTGGTCACCTGCAGTGGGCACAGGGATGGAGGCCTGTGGGCCCAGGCCAGGTCGATCAGGATCTCCAGGAATCTCTGGGCTGTGTAAAGGGGAAGACAAAGGAGCAGAAAGAGTAGAGTGTTTACCAGGTCGGGGAGGGAGAGGGACGTGCTGAGCCGGGGCCCTCGTCTGAAATGAGCAGGAAGCCCCAGCGAGTGCGGCGGAGCCTTCAGAGCAGGCCGAGTGGCTCTGCGCCAGGCTTGTCCAGAGCGCCAGGCTGGGGTTCATCCCCAGCACCACCAGAGCCCCATCCAGAAGACAGAAGCCCCCAGGGACCTGGGTGACTGCTGCTGGGGCCAGGAACTCTCCAAGGGAGGGCGCTAGAGGGGCACACTGCGCCGCTGGCCCAGGGGAGCATCTCACGCCATGGGGGTTTCTTCCACTCATTTTGTGAAACCCAAACACGAGATCGCAGAGGAGACCTGCAGGAGGACTGACCAGCCTTCTGCTGCCTTGCTCTCTCCTTCACTGATGCACAGGCTACAGAGGTGGTCCTCACGACGCCTATCTTTATGTGCAAAGGAAAAAAGTATTAGATAGTGGTGTGTGTGTGTGTGTGTGCATGTGTGTGAAGGTGTATGTGTGACAGTGTCTGTAGGCATGCATGAGTGTGTGCACATGTGTGAAAGTGTGTGCATGCATGTGTTAGCATATGAAAGTGGATGTGAATATGTGTATGCCTGTGTGTATATGTGTGCAAGTGTGTGTGCATTTGGGGGGTGTGAGTGAATGTGTTAGTGTGAGAGTGTGAGCACACGTGGGAGTGCATGAATATGAGTATGTGAATGTGAACATATGTGTGACAGTGTGTGAAAATGGATATGTTACTACATGCAGATGTGTGTGATTGTGGGCATGTGTGAGTGTGTGTGCAAATGTGTTCATGTGCATATGAGTGGGATTGGTTGTGTTTGTGAGTGTGAGTACATGAAATTGTGTGTGTGTGAGTGCACGTGTGTGAGCGTGTACGTGCATGGGTGTGTAGGCATATAACAATCAGAGCCACTTTTCACGTGCTGAATGCCTGCATCAGGTCTGCTGGATGCCTTTGTACATATGATTTTATTTAACTTCCGTGATTCCCTTTTGGTTTAGGTATCATTAATCTGAGTGCAATGGTGCGATGTTTATTAAGTAATTTTAACTATGATCACATATTTAGCAGATTTTAGCCACAAGATGTGTAAGACCCTGCCCTTAAACAGATGGTCATCTTACAGGGTGGATGTGTGATCTTTGTCTAAATTGCTGGGGGACGTAAAACAACATAACTAAACAAATGTCAACATAGCTAAACGAAATAAAGGAAACTTATTCTCTTTAGTTATACCAAAAATTGGAAATCATTCTTGAAAGTTACATGCATTTATTTAGCTAATTGGCATTTTTAAAAGGATCTGCAGAATGTCAGTCTTGGACAGTGTGCAGAACCTTGGGAAGGAGTGAATGCGGGATGAGTGAATTCTAGATCTTAGCAGGGAAATTCGCAGGAGCCTGCATTTAGCCTGAGATGATGCCGTGCGTCCCAAGTCAGAAGTGTGCGGCTCCTGTGCTGAAGGACGCCTGCCTCTGTGGCCAGCCACCCTACGGCCGCACAGACACTGGCTGTCACTGCAGTGGGAAGCTATGGGAGACTCCAGGCTGCGGATCGGCATCAAAAATGGGTCCTCTGAAGTCCGTGGTCTCAGAGTTCACTTTTAGGTGAAGGCTTCCGGACTTAACAGAAGTAGCTGTAAAGCTTTTCTGTGAGTCAGGTGAGCTTGTTGGAATGGTTATCACCCCCCACCCACCTCGGTGGTCACAGCTGAGACAAGTGGGCTTGTTGGAATGATGGCTGCCTCCCCTAGGTCTGGTCACAAGTGAGCCAGGTGAGCTTGGTTAGCCGCCTCCCACGAGTGTGTTTGGTCACGGGTGTTTCATTTATTATCTTAAAAATTTTGACCCCAATGTTGTCTGTATATCCATGTTATTCTTCCCCATCTATTGCAAATGATCCATTATGGTATTTCCTGTGTGTGTGTGTGTGCACACGCATACACACACACACACTCTTCAGGTGGTTGAAATAGCTGTCATAAATATAAATCTAAACAAATATTAGACCTTAGACTTTCCAGAAAATTTATTTCTAATAGCACTAAATTTTCTTTTTTCTTTGACACTTTCACATAATATTTATTTACTATTTTGATAAGAAAAAAATAACCAAAATATTAAGCCAAAATCTCAAACTAAGACACAGATAACCTGGGGCAATTGCAGAAAAATGAGCCTCGGCTGGAGGCCTGGGCCTGCTCTCTCCACAGGCTCTGTGTAGGGGCTCTGGGCTACCTGGGCTCGGTTTTATCCTTCTGAGCCTCAGCTTTAAACTGTGAAATTAAAGGCTGACGGAGATGCTCTCTAATATGCTTCATCTCATTCTCATTGAAAACTATGTGGGAAACACTTGCATTATATAACTGTAGATCCATGCTCTTTAACACTGGTCAAAAGAAGGCCCTTGATTTAGGGATTTGCAAGGCCTTTCTTGATCCAGTGCATCCATTGAGCATGGGGTTGTTGGACATGCCACTCTACCCTACTCTCTGCTTCACACTGTAACTCAAATTCACTTAAGGTTTTTTACTTTGTTTTGGTTTGGGTTTTGTCTCACAGCAGACACATCTGCATCAGAATTTGTAAATTTTTTTTTTAAGTATAAGGAATTTTCCCCACATCTTAGTTTTTAAAAAGACCTTCATTTGTCTTACTTCTTGCGTTGTCTCTCTAGTAAAAAGAAGATATGCATGTCTTGTAGGATTCTGCCTTCTGCCCCAGATCTGTTTCCTGTCTCCTGTATTTCAGTTTCTTAGGGCTTTTTTTCTGACAGATAATTTATAAAATATGAAATTTGGTGTTTTAGATGCATTGATGATTTGGGGTAAACTGTCTTTTGTATCAGTCTGTTTTCTATTACTATAACAGAATACCAGATGCAGTCTAACTTTTAAAGAAAAGAGGTCCAGTTAGCTCACAGTTTTGGAGCCTGAAAGTCCAAACCGCATGGTGCCAGTTCTGGAGAGGGCACCCTGGCCTCATCTGCCTCATGTTGGGGTACATTTGAGAGAAAATGATCACCTGGTGAGGCAGGAAATCAGAGAGACCAGGAAGGCCTGTTTTCTCTTTTAACATCCCCCATGAGACCTAAGTGGGGTCCCAAGAGGCCCACTTCACCCCTTCCCAGGGCGGTGCCCCCAGAGCCTGCCTCTGGGTCCTAGCTCTTAAGGGCCCACCCACCCAGCGCCCACACCACCCCACCCAGCGCCACCCCTGGACTGAGTCAGCAGCATGGGGGCCTGTTGGGGGCACGGGCCCCATGTGAGCCACAGGCCCCCTGGGCAGGACGTCCCCAGGCTTTAAGGGAACAAACCTGGAGGGGGATTAATGAGACCCGGAGGAGCTCTGGGACCTGGGCCACACCAACCTTTCTCACGAATCTCGACATGGGAGCCACTGCGAGGTGACTTTGGTGTGGGGGAGAGTGTCTTCCCCTTCCTGCTCCGTGCCCAGGAGACCAGGCAGCTGAGGCACCATGCTCCCGAACACCCTGAGGACACGCGGACTGGCTGGGCTGACCTGGGTCGCGGCCTTGACCTCCAGACTCACCTTGCACAGTACCCCTATGTTTTCCTGCATAAACACTCTGTGCTCAGAGGTCCTGTCACTGGATACCTGCATATGGGTGTTTTATTCAGACCCACCTCCACGATGATGATGATGATGACGGTGATGATGATGATGATGACGGTGATGATTGGTACGGGGGATGGAACCCAGGGGCACTTTGCCACTGAGCTAAGTCTCGGCCCTTTTCATTCTTTATTTCAAAACAGGGCCTTGCTAAGTTGCTGGGGCTGGTGTGAACTTGTGATCCTCCTGCCTCAGCCTCCTCAGAGGCTGGGCCTCCAGGCCTGTGCCACACACGACTCCATTTTCCCATACCTTCCTTAAAATCTGAGAGTGTGTCTTATGCCACACCCCTGAAATTCAATTAACAGTGTTTATGTTTTATTAAATTAAAAAAAAAAAGAGCAAGCCATACTGCTGTAAACATCAGCTGCATCTCTTTCATTTCCTGCAGCGGTGTCCTGTGGCCTCCCAGAGTCCCCAGGGAACGGCTCCTTCACGGGCAGCGAGTTCACGCTGGACAGTAAAGTGGTGTACGAGTGCAACGAGGGCTTCCAGCTGGCCGCAGGACAGCCCGCCACCGCGGTGTGCCAGGAGGACGGGATGTGGAGCAACCGCGGGAGGCCGCCGGCCTGTCAACGTGAGTGTCCCAGTGTCCAGGGCGTCGCGGGCAGGTGGGACGGGCCCCTGCGACCGCCTTCCCAGGCGCAGGGTTGATTCTCTACAGACCGGCCCCGGAGCTGAGCTGTGCCCTGGGCAGCCACCCCTGAGCCCGCAGGCTCTGCCTGCCCCAGGCCGCGGACAGCCCACCAGCCCTGACCCAGGCAGCCCTCAGGGTGGGGAGGGGACGTCTAGGGGACGCAGGGGCCCAGGACCCAGCGCCAGCCCGGCACGTGAGGTCTGAAACAGCGGTCTCCCCGAGGAATCCAAGGCGACTGACCACCCACCCCGCCACCCCCAGGCCTGTGGAGGCGCTGATTGTAAAGGAAGCTCTGCGCAGCCTGCGGGGTATTCTCCAAGGGTCGGGGTCTGGATCCAGGGTGACCTCCAGCCTTAGCCAAGAGTAGAGCCACGCAGTGCAAAAGTGCACGTGGGCGCGCACACACGCAAACACACGTGCACACACGCAAACACACGTGCACGCATGCACACACATGCGCGCACACACACACACATGCACGCACACACACCCACACACGCATGCGCCTACGCACGCACACACACGTGTCCTCCTCACAATGCTCAGCCCAGGTATACTGAACAGGCCTGGATTTGTAAACAGTCTCCCCTTCCCGTGCCCCACACTGCAAACTCACTTCCTTACACGGGTGTTAATTTGCTGGAATGCCATTAGTACCAGAGGTCCCCTGGTCTCCCATCTCAGAGGCAGCTCATTGGCCTCTCGCTGCAGACCTGGGTCATGCTGCGCCTTTTCAGCTTTTGAGCTGTGAGCCCTAAGTGCTCCTGGGAGACAGGCGACTTCCCGCAGGTCCTGACACCTTCTCCCAAGGTCCGCACCTTATCTCACGTCCTGGAGTCAGGGGTGTTGAAAGCGCGCCCTGTGGCTACCGCATGGCCTGGTTTTACCTCAAGTGAACCTGGGGAGCGGCAGGCACAGACTTAGCTCCACCTGGACAAAATCGCCCTCTGGAAACAGGAGCTGTCCCTGACAGGGCGCAGCCCACGTGTCCTGGTCAACTGGTGAGGAGGAGTCCAGGAATCAGGAAGGTTCACCTGCACAGCACAGCGGCCAGCTCCCGCCACTGCTCTGGGAGGCTCAGAGAGCTCACCTGGGAGTCTCCCCAGATCCCCACGTGGGCACCGGCGGCCTCACAGAGGAGGCAGCGCCACCACCTCTAGGTCTGAACCGGAGTCCTCTCCTTTACCAGGGTCCCCCCACCCGCTGGCACCCACAGCTGCAGAGAGCTCTGGGGTGTCCAGGGTCCACTAGTGCCTGAGCCCCAGGTCTCAGTGGGGACCAGGCTCCTGTTTCTTAGCTTTCTCCCTCCCTCCCTCCCTCCCTTCCTTCCTGTCTCCCCTCTCTCCTCAGTCCCTGTCCCTCCCTCCCTTCCTTCCCTCTTCCTCCCCCTCTTCCCTCCTCCCTCCCTCCCTCCCTCCCTTCCTTCCCTCCTCCCTCCCTCCCTCCCTCCCTTCCTTCCCCTCTTCCCTTCCTCCCTTCCTTCCCTCCTTCCTCCCTCCCTCCCTCCCTCCCTCCCTTCCTCCCTTCCCTCCTTCCTCCCTCCCTTCCTCCCTCCCTCCCTCCCTCCCTTCCTCCCTTCCTTCCCTCCTCCCTCCCTCCCTCCCTTCCTTCCCTCCTCCCTCCCTCCCTCCTTCCCTTCTTCCCTCCTCCCTCCCTCCCTCCCTCCCTCCCTCCCTTCCTTCCCTCCTCCCTTCCTCCCTCCCTCCCTTCCTTCCCTCCTCCCTCCCTCCCTTCCTTCCCTCCTCCCTCCCTCCCTTCCTTCCCTCCTCCCTTCCTTCCCTCCTCCCTTCCTCCCTCCTCCCTCCTTCCCTTCTTCCCTCCTCCCTCCCTCCCTCCCTCCCTCCCTCCCTCCCTTCCTTCCTCCCTCCCTCCCTCCCTCCCTTCCTTCCCTCCTCCCTTCCTCCCTCCCTCCCTTCCTTCCCTCCTCCCTCCTTCCCTTCTTCCCTCCTCCCTCCCTCCCTTCCTTCCCTCCTCCCTTCCTTCCCTCCTCCCTTCCTCCCTCCTCCCTCCTTCCCTTCTTCCCTCCTCCCTCCCTCCCTCCCTCCCCCCCTCCCTCCCTCCCTTCCTCCCTCCCTCCCTCCCTCCCTTCCTTCCCTCCTCCCTCCCTCCCTTCCTTCCCTCCTCCCTTCCTCCCTCCCTCCCCTCCTTCCCTTCTTCCCTCCTCCCTTCCTTCCCTCCTCCCTTCCTCCCTCCCTCCTCCTTCCCTTCTTCCCTCCTCCCTCCCTCCCTCCCTCCCTCCCTCCCCTCCTTCCTCCCTCCCTCCCTCCCTCCCTCCCCCCCTCCCTTCCTCCCTCCCTTCCTTCCCCTCTTCCCTTCCCTCCCTTCCTTCCCTCCCTCCCTTCCTCCCTCCCTCCCTCCCTCCCTTCCTCCCTTCCTTCCCTCCTCCCTCCCTCCCTCCCTTCCTTCCCTCCTCCCTCCCTCCCTCCTTCCCTTCTTCCCTCCTCCCTCCCTCCCTCCCTTCCTCCCTCCCTTCCTTCCCTCCTCCCTTCCTCCCTCCCTCCCTTCCTTCCCTCCCCCCTCCCTCCCTTCCTTCCCTCCTCCCTCCCTCCCTTCCTCCCCTCCTCCCTCCCTCCCTTCCTTCCCTCCTCCCTTCCTTCCCTCCTCCCTTCCTCCCTCCTCCCTCCCTCCCTCCCTCCCTCCCTCCCTTCCTTCCTCCCTCCCTCCCTCCCTCCCTTCCTTCCCTCCTCCCTTCCTCCCTCCCTCCCTTCCTTCCCTCCTCCCTCCTTCCCTTCTTCCCTCCTCCCTCCCTCCCTTCCTTCCCTCCCTCCCTTCCTTCCCTCCTCCCTTCCTCCCTCCTCCCTCCTTCCCTTCTTCCCTCCTCCCTCCCTTCCTCCCTCCCTCCCTCCCTCCCTTCCTTCCTCCCGCCCTCCCTCCCTCCCTTCCTTCCCTCCTCCCTCCCTCCCTTCCTTCCCTCCTCCCTTCCTCCCTCCCTCCCCTCCTTCCCTTCTTCCCTCCTCCCTTCCTTCCCTCCTCCCTTCCTCCCTCCCTCCTCCTTCCCTTCTTCCTTCCTCCCTCCCTCCCTCCCTCCCTCCCTCCCTTCCTTCCTCCCTCCCTCCCTCCCTCCCTCCCTCCCTCCCTCCCTCCCTCCCTTCCTTCCCCTCTTCCCTTCCTCCCTTCCTTCCCTCCCTCCCTCCCTCCCTCCCTCCCTCCCTTCCTTCCCTCCTCCCTCCCTCCCCTCCTTCCCTTCTTCCCTCCTCCCTCCCTCCCTCCCTCCCTCCCTTCCTTCCTCCCTCCCTCCCTCCCTCCCTTCCTTCCCTCCTCCCTCCCTCCCCTCCTTCCCTTCTTCCCTCCTCCCTCCCTTCCTTCCTCCCTTCCTTCCCTCCTCCCTCCCTCCCCTCCTTCCCTTCTTCCCTCCTCCCTCCCTCCCTCCCTCCCTTCCTTCCCTCCTCCCTCCCTCCCTCCTTCCCTTCTTCCCTCCTCCCTCCCTCCCTCCCTCCCTCCCTTCCTTCCTCCCTCCCTCCCTCCCTCCCTTCCTTCCCTCCTCCCTCCCTCCCCTCCTTCCCTTCTTCCCTCCTCCCTCCCTTCCGCCCTCCCTTCCTTCCCCTCTTCCCTTCCTCCCCTCCTTCCCTCCCTCCCTCCCTCCCTTCCTTCCTCCCTCCCTCCCTTCCTTCCTTCCTTCCCCTCTCCCTCCCTCCCTCCCTCCCTTCCTTCCCTCCTCCCTTCCTCCCTCCCTTCCTCCCTCCCTCCCTCCCTTCCCCTCTCCCCTCCTCCCTCCCTCCCTTCTTTCTTTCTTTCTTCTGTTGGTTCCTTTGTTCATTCTCATTGTGCTAAAATGTCACGTCTGTACTAAATTATAAAGGAGACACTTTTAAACTTCCGTACTGACCAATGAAGGCCCAAGGAATGACAAAGTATTTAGATGTCATTTTAACTCACACAAGTTGTGTTGTTCCATAGACTGTTTTTTAGAGTTGTTTTGGTGTGCAGCCATGCTGAGCTAAAGGGACAGAGATCTCCTGTGTCCCCCCTGCTTCCCACGTCAGCGTCCTGCTCCAGCGTGGGGCCTCTGTCATAACCAGTGGACATGCCTGGACATGGCGTCACGGGGGGGGCACAGTTCCTCAGGTGCCCCCTTGGCCTGGCACGCTGTCTGGGTGTGTGTCTGCCGTGCAGTATCACAGGACACCGTTGCCACTGTGCCTCCCTCCTCCCCACCAGCGCTGGCTGCCGCGGGTCTTCTCACCATCTCTGTGGTCTCACCTTCTCCCAGCATAGTGTGGCTCGACTCATGTGGTCTACACCTGGCCACCGTGGCTTCTTGCACTTAGCAGTATGCATTGGAGTTTCCCTCCAGATTCTTCAGGGCTGGTAGCATATTTCTTTTTATTCCACTGACTGGAGGAGGCGGAGTGTATCTACCCATCACCTACTGGAGGACATCATAGTTGCTTCTAAGTGAGGTCAACCAGGAATAATTCTGCTGTGAGCATCTGTGTACAGGTTTCTGTGTGGACGTTAGCTTTTAATTAATATGGGTACATACCAAAGCGTGATTGTGGGATCAGAGAGTGAGAATTCTTGTGGTCTCATGAGAAGCCACCAGTCTGTGGTCCAAAGGGCCCCTGCCACTGCCCGTTCCCAGCAGCAGAGGGTGGACGTTCTCGTCACCATCCTGAAAGCACTGGGATTCAGGGTGGGAAGCTGGCCCTTCCCTTAGAGGTGCAGGCACCTCCTGGGGTTCCCATGTGTCTTTCCAGTGGCCTGTGGCGGGTGTCTTCTCGCACGCTCCCTGGCCATCTGCATGTTCTTTGGAGAGGTGTCTGATAAGGTCTTGGCCCCTTGTTAATCAGGCATTCCCTCCCTTCTCTGTGTGCTTCAGATGACGCTCCTTTATCAGATGTGCCTTTTGCCAGCATCTTGTCCCCGTCCTAGTGTACCTTCTCATCCTCTGGACAGTGTCCTCCTCAAGCACAAAGTCCAGCTTATCACTTCTTCTTCCT